CTTCCAAATTGGTTGGTGGTGGAGCTCAAACTTGAAGTGACCCAGGCCTATGGTGAAAAATTCCATCAATTGTCCAGGGACTGCATTCCTTTTTTTTTTGTTACCAAAGCATCCTCAACCCATTAATTCCTACAACATACCTTCTAATGTTTTTGCCAACCTGGTGAGACAGATACCATCCTCCTCATTTCATAGGAGGTTTCATTTCATCAAACTGAGCAAAAAGGGTTTCCCCATGACCCCTGATCACACAGCTGGTGAGAGGAAATGTGAGAAGACATACAAGACTCATCTGGCTGAGTCTAGTCAATTCTTCTTCGCTCTGACCTCTTTCACTGTTACCTTCAGAGGTAACCAGTATGAGCTGTTTGGCCACATCTAGGTCCCCTTCATTGGGGCATTAGCATTAACTCAAGTCACTTGCCTCTTACAAAAACCTCCTGGGTTGTCACAGGTGCTGGCTTACTACCACCATCCCACACCAAGATTCTCCTCAGGGCCTGGCTGGTTGAGCTATCATGAAATGCTACCTGTGTGTATATATGATTTCATCAAGAGATAGTATCAGGATGTGCCTGCCCTGTGCTTGGGTGCAGGTATAAAAAGCTGAATACTGTAGTTCCTGCCTTCAAGGTCCTTATATTTTGAGGAAAGTAGGAAAAAAGGACAAACATCTGAGAGAAGGTAAGTGTGGAGGAAGAAAGAAGCTTCTTTGAAGGAAGTGTCTGACCTCATCAAGACCTTGATGTTCAGGGAATGGGTCTGAAACTTACTCAGTTCTCAGAAAAGAGTTTGCTGGTTGATGCTGCATGAATATTTGATGCTTATGAACAAAAGGTAGAAAATTAGAGAGAGGTAGAGAGAGCAGAGAGTGAGCAAAGGGAGAGTGAAAGGGGAAAGGACTGAGGGGAAGCAGAACACAAGAAAAATGAGAAAGAAGTATGAAGGATGCAGGGGAGGAAGAAAAGAAGGAGAAAGGAAAAGAAAGAAGAGAAAGAGGAAGAATGGAAATAATGAAAGAAAGAAAAACAATGAAAGAAGGAGACGGCAGAAAAGTGAGAGGTAGGGAAGAACAGAATTAAAGTAAGCAGAAAGGAGAGAGGGAAGCATAGAAGGCAGAAAAAAAGAAAAACAGAGGAGAGAGGCAAAGTGCAAAATCAAGGATGAAGGAAGGAGAAAGGAAGAAAAGGAGGAAGTATAGAACGAAAAATGAAGGAAAGAAAAAGAAAGGGAGAGGGAGGATAAAAGTGTGAAAAAGAAAGAATGAAGAAATAAAGGAAAGAATGAAGGAATAAAGGAGGGAGAGATATATTGAAGGAAGTGGGAAAAGAAGGAAAAATTGAAGGAGGGAGTAAATGAAAGGAAGAACAGAGAGAACAAATGAAAAAGGAAGGGAAGAAGGGAGCAAAGGAAAGAAAGATGGAAGGAGAGA